GAAGCCCTGTACAACAGACAGCCTCTGACAGGAGTGCGGGCTGGCGGCGCACAGCACAGAAGCCTCGGGAAGGACAAAGCGGGAACCGACGGAAGAGGAGGAGGGGGAGGAAAGGGAACCTCTGAACCACCCGAAACATACAGAAAAATCGCTGTCGACGTGGCTCTCGGAGTCGCGACATCTCGCGCTCTGAAAGTAGATGCGCTTGCCGTCCCCGCGCCAAGCAGGTTTAATGGCCTTCGGCCCATCTCGCCACCGTGCTTTGGTTGTGGGTATGAAGCCTGCCTGTTTCGTTGGGATCCCGTGGGAGGCTTCTCAGGGGCCTCTCGGAGGCAGTTTGGAGGCTCCCTCGGGGCCGTTTAGGGGCCTCTTGGGGCCTCTCTGGGCCTCTCAGGGGCCTCTTTGGAGGCCTCTTGGGGGCCTCTTGGGGCCTCCTGGGCGCCTCTTGGGGCCTCCTGAGGGCCTCTGGGGACGGAAAGCTAGGAGTGTTGTTAGTGTTCCTTCCCTTGTGCCCCTTTTGGCGCCGTCTTGGGACCCTCTTGGGCCGTCTTGGGCGCCGTCTCGGCCGTGTTAGGGGGCGCTCTTAGGCCGTCTTGGGGCCCTCTTGGAGGCCTCTTGGGTCGTCTTGGGGCGGTCTTGGGGGCCCCTGCGGCCGTCTGGGAGCGTCGGGGAGCCGAGAAGGCGTGATTGGCCAAATCGTTCAAACACCCACGGACAATCAATGATTTTGACCTCTTGGAGCCGTCCTGGGGGGCCTCTTGGAGGCCTCTTGGGGCGTCTTGGAGGCCTCTTGGGCCGTCTGAGCGCCATCTTGGGCGTCTTGAGCCGATCTTTCGGCGACTCGGGGCCGTCTTCGGGGCCTCTTGGGGCCCCCTTGGCCCGTCTTGGGGCTTTCCTGGGCCCGCGAAAGATTCACGCGCAACCACCGGGCACTGCCCAGGGGGCACGCGGGGAGCCCCGCCAAAGTTCGGAACTTGGGCTTGTGCCCGTTGACATCTCCTCAGGACCTGGGACTGAGGCTCCAGGGATTAGGCAGAGGACCAGAAGACACGCACACTCCGTGCCCAGAGGCATGGTGGCGAGTCTACGCATCTGCTCTGTTATTCTTACGTTTCGATCTGGGACCCTGCGGACCCCCCCCAACGTGACCCCTCCGAATCCTTGGCCCCGGGTGCACCCTGGAGGCCCTTGCCGACGGTCCCCTGTGCTTTCTGGGGCTTCTGAATCCCCTGTAGGGCCCAGTCAACGGACCCAAATTGGTCAGGAGGACGGCCGGATGGCCCCACGAGAGCCCACCGGGACGCCCGAAGACGACCCAAAGAAGACCCCCAAGAGGCATTCGAAATGCAAAAAGCATTGATTTCCAATGGTATTTGCATGATTTTGGGAATGCTCAGTTCTTTGGTCTTCTGGGCGTCCGAGACCGCCCAGGAGGCAAGAGAATCGCCCAAATTTAACAAAGAGGGCTTCCAGGCAGTCGAAGAGGAGCCTTAGGACGGCACAACAGGGCCCTGAGAATGCCCGAGGAGAGCCCCATGACGGCCCAAGATGGTCCCAAGACGCTTCCCGAATCATTCAAAATCGTGACCTGGTCGTTCAGAATACCGCGGTTGGAAACAAGGTGGCCAGGGGACGCCCCCAGAGGCCCCCAACAGGAACCTACGAGGCTTCAAGAAGGGTCCAACAAGATCTTAAGAATCTTCGTGAGTCTTTCAAGAGGCTCTCCTAGGAAGAGCCTCCACAAAAACAACTAAGGATCGGGACGAAATCGCAGGGTAGGGCGAGAATGAGGAAGAAGAGGAAACATGAGGGATGGATAACGAATCACATCATTACAACGACGATACCTGTATTGGCAACGACGAATTATCGCTTGATGTTTCGTTTTACCTTGCTGCCCTTATGCCTGCATGCCAAACCTCAAGGACCAACGTGCATGGCGCGAAGCGCCAATTCAGTCATGTATGTGTGTATGTATGTATGTATATATGTCTGTCTGTCTGTCTGTCTGTCTGTCTGTCTGTCTGTCTGTCTGTCTGTATGTATGTATGTATGTATGTATTTATCCATGTATGTATGTATGTATGTATGTATGTATGTATGTATGTATGTATGTATGTATATATATATATGTACGTACGTACGCACGTACGTACGTACGTACGTTTGTATGTATATATATGTATGTATGTATGTATGTATGGATGTATGTATGCATGTATGTATGTATGTATGTATGTATGTGTGTCTGTCTGGCTGTCTGTCTGGCTGTCTGTCTGTCTGTCTGTCTGTCTGTCTGTCTGTATGTATGTATGTATGTATGTATGTATGTAGGCATAGATCCATATATGTATATATGTATGTGTAGACTTGTACACATGTACACATGCATCTATCTACGTATGACTATTTACAGCATCATATGTATATGGAAAGGAATCGCCAATACATATGTGTACATGTAGCTATACATATATACTTCTGTTAGCCAGCGTGAACCCCAAACATTGGTTTCTGCCATCTATACAGTGCAATCAACGTGGTGCAACCTAGGTGGGGCAATCCATGTGGCGCAATCTCGGTGGTGCAAAGCATTGCAAAGCATTGCGAAGCATTGCGAAGCATTGCAACGTAATACGCACTGCAAAGTAATGCAAAGCAAAGTAAGGCAATGCAAAGCAATGCAAAGCAATGCAAAGCACTGCGAAGCAATGTAAAGCAAGCGGTGACGAGGTGACGGGCGGCGGCGAGGCGGCGACGGCGGTGGCATGACGGCCAGAACGGCTCCCAGGGCCAGTTCCTTAGAAGAGAAGTAAGACCACCCAAGGGCAAGCACAAGTTGGGGAGTCTGTAAGTCTATTTATATATAGGTATATCTGCATACACAGACGTGTACACTGGCCTCGCAATACACGAGCAACGTGGGAAGTCGGTAACGCGCCCAGACCCCGGAAGTCGTGGACAAGTTGGTGCTTCTCCTCGCCTCCCTTCGTCTCTCCTCTCCTCTCCGCTACTTCTTCGACCGATTCCACGGCTTTCTGCTCACTCTTGTTGCCCCCCTTCTGCTAATTCTTGTTGGCGGCTTCCCCCTGGGTGCCGCCAGACTTTCGAGCCCCGGCGGGGCCTGGCGGACCGCAGCCCCGCGCGGACCGAAACGCGGCCTCCCTTTCTTGAAGGCCGCTGGTCCTAAGAGGGTAGTCGGCCTCCTGAGCCCCTGCAGAGTTGGGTTCGGGGGACGTCAACTACAGTCGGGGCGCTGAAGAAGGAACCCTTTTCATTGGGGAGGGGCCCCGTGTTCCTTAGTTGTTTCGCAGCTTGCCTTAGGTTCTCCTCAGGTTTACGATATGACATCGGAGCTTAACTTATGGAAAATAGGGGCCTCGTTCCTTGTTTAGGGTTCCTGAGGTCAACGCCCCGACTGTACAGTGAGCGGCTTGAATAAGGAACACTTACTTTTCAAAAGGGGCTCGGTCGTTCCTTAGGCTTGCACGCGTCATTTACAGTTCCTTATGCGTCATTTGTTATTTATCGTTCCTTGTGCGTTATTCCTTGGGATAAAAAAGGCGCTTCGTTATTTATTTATCGTTCCTTAGGTCAACGCCCCGGCTCTCTCCTCCCCGCCGATCCTGGGCCCAGGACGGGCCTCTGCCGCCCGGCCGGGCCCGATGCTGCGGCCAGCCTGCGCCCCCCCAGCAGTGGGACGCCACCCCACGAGGGCCCCGGCATCACTGTAAAACAGGGCTCGGATGGGGACAAATCGCTCTCAGAGCGTTCTGGAACGCTTTGAGAGCGGCCGCGGCGCCCAAGACGTCCTCCAAGCCCGCCGACTCCCAGAGATTTCGAGTCCTCCCGATCCGATTTTGTCCCGGTCTTCGCGTCGTTCCCCGGCATCGCTCGGCTTCCCGGGGTGCTGCCAGCGCAGAGCCTTCGCTCCTCTCCTGCGCCCCTGGGAGGGTCTGCTTCGCGTGGCCCCACCCGCCCCGCGCGCTCGCCAGAGCAGAGCTTCGCCCCTGTGATTGAGTCGGGCCTGTCCCTCCGCAGGAGGAATATTCGAAAGTGGTCCGAAAATAGTATGGGGACGATTTGTTGAGCATTGTTTGACCACTTGGGGGTACTTCTTGGCTATCTTCAATTTTTCGTCCAAAATCCCTTTGTAGGAGGACAGGCCCGACTTATCCCCACGAGTGGAGCCAGGAGGAACTGCACGCGGGCAACGAGAAGTGTTCGACGGCGGCGTTGGTCGCACGGACGGGCGCGAAGAGCAGGAACAGGACTCCGTTCGGGGCCCGTCCAGGGTCCCCAAGGTCCTGCCGAGATGGGTCCGTACCCCCAAATTCAGACCACTGGGATGACCGTAGGGGTTTCTAAGTGGGTAGGGGGGTTACAAGTGGATGCTGAGGTGGGTTATATCTGGCCTAACCCGGCTTATAAGTGGGTTACGATTTCCCCGAGTGGCTTAGGGGAGTTAGATATTTCCGCTAAGTGGGCGGAGCCCACTTAGCCCAGATCGGTAACCTCACTAAGCTACTTGGGGCATTTCTAGCCCACTTATAAGCCAGGGTGGGCCAGATATAACCCACCTTGGCATCCACCTGTAACCCACATATCCACGTAGAAACCTCCACGGTCATCCCAGTACTGCATTTCCACCACGGGGCGAATCGACCGATCGCGCAACTTAAAACAGTTGTGCAGCCTTCCGGTGTTTTTTGGGAGCCCAGCGAATCGGCCTCACACGGTCATCCAAGCTAACCGCGTGTGCCATGCTCTCGCGGGTGATGCCAAACGTCGTGGGGCTTGCGCATGTGTTGCATGTGGCAAGGGGGGCTGCCAATGAAGAAGGCATAGACCTACAGTCATGCACCTCCTCACCTGCATGGTGGCGACGGGGGTTGGATGGGTGGGTGTGCAGACAACAAGTTGCTTCTCGTCCTGCTCCTCCTGCTGCTCCTCTTCCTTCCCGTTCTCTCCTCCCCTCCTGCTGGTGCTCCCAAGTCGAGGAGCGCTTCGTGCAGAACATGAGCGCTGGCCAGTCGGACGGCGTCAAGTTCAGGGAGCACCTCCGCCCCGTGGAACAGCGCCCGCCGTGCTCTCAGCTCTCGGGCACCGGGAATGAAGAACTGGACTCGCTCGTCTCTCCGTCCTTCTGCCTCCTCCTCCTCTTCCTCCTCCTCCACCTCCTCCTCCTCCTCCTCCTCCTCCTCCTCCTCCTCCTCCCCCTGCTCCCCCTGCTCCTCCTCCTCCTCCTCCTCCTCCTCCTCCTCCTCCTCCAGCTCCTCTCATGTTCACTGTCGCGTTTAGTACTGCGCGGGTGCGGCACGGAGAGACTGATACAGGGTTGGCGTGTGCAAACGCGCAGCATGTGGTCGTGTTGCGGGTGACGTAGGAGTGCCCTTTGGGAGAACATTTCCCTACATTCGGAAGTTCGTTTTAAACTTGTATCCGCGACCGAACTTTTTTTGTGTTCGTGCCATTGAATGTCAGTGCCACAGTTGGTTAATCTGGGAGTTCCTGCATTCGTGCCAATACAGGGCAGCGGATTGGCTATGTTGCACTGATGTGACATCGGCATGTGTGCGTGTTTTTTCCCGCCAATGCGTGAAGTCCAAAGCTGCTGTCGATGCGCTTTGGCATCACAGCGGGGCGAGCGCAAAGAGTCCGAACAGTGAATCGTATTCAATTTGTCATGTTCAACCGTCCTCCTCCCCCTTCTCATTCTCCCTGTCCCTTCCACTTCCCCTCCTGATCCTCCACGTCCTTATACCTCTGACTGTTTCCTTCCGTCTCCTCCCTAAATATTTCCCTCTTCTCCCTCCTCCTCCTCCTCCTCCACCTCCTCCTCCTCCTCCTCCTCCTCCTCCTCCTCTCTTCTCCTCCTGGTTCTTGCGTACCTCATCCCTTTCTTACAAAGTTCCTGAGCGTTTCCTGATTTTGTGGCAGATTTCTGGGTGTGCTGTTTTAGTGGAAAAGGTTGCTTTCATACCGATGTTGCGTACGCATGTACATTTATTCGCATACATTCGCCATGCTTACGAAGCACCAGTTGGTTCGGATTGCATTTAGACTGATGTTGGCATGGCCAGCCAAGAGGAGTCCTACACAATGCGCACATTTCCTCGCAGCGTCACGCCGCCGCGCTCGCAATCGCCAGAACCCGCGTGTGAGAAATTCTGGATGTTATGCATAGCGATATTCAATCTTTGCGCGGTACTCTGTCAGGGGAATGGTCAATCGCAAAAACTCGCCTCGAGTTTTCGTGTGTCCTTGCCATTTTTGGAACAGTACTCGCCTTGTCCACCAGTTGTTTTACATCTGCTAATGTGTCTTCGCTGCTGATCGATCGATGGTCCCAGTCCCTGAAATAGCCAGTGGATCAGTACATGGACAAACTATGCACTTGAGGGGGATGTTCATCAGCCCTTTGCCCCTGAATTGATGCTGATTTTAACATGGGTGATGGTTTGGTGGTTCAGAATGTCTATCCACTCATGCCCTCTCCATTGCCGCACCCTCACTATTACTTTGGGGCGTCCGGGGGAGGGGGCAGCTTGTGCCGCAGGGTTTGAGCTTATCGTCCATGTACGGTCCTGCTGCGTGGGGCAAAAAGGCGGGGATGGGAGGGGAGGTCGAGGTCGGAGGGGATGGGTCGAGGGCAAGGCGAACGTGGAAGGCGACGTCAGGGTGGACGAGGAGGTGCATGGGCAAGGGTGGAGGTCGTGGTAGGGGTGCATTGACAGCGGAGATGGGGAGAAAGTGAGGCCGAGTTGGACGTGGAGGGGAGTGGGGGATACTGAGAAATGTGAGGAAGCGGGAAAGAGAGCGGAGGAATGGCGAGGAGAGGGGAAGACTGTAGAGGAGAAGCTCGGAAGTAGGAGTGCACAAGAGTGGGGTCGAGCGCGGAGGAACGCTGGAGGAGATGGCGGGATAATGGAGGAGTTAAGTGGAGATGGGCGCATATGAGAGCAGATGAACCAGGAAGGACAACATGCGGAGGACTGGACGGGACGGCGGAGAAGTGGGGGGGGCGGAGGAGAGGGGGGAGTAGGGTCTTAGGGTGGATTGGAGTGAGGATGAGCGAGGATGAGTCCGAGGAGCGGGGGGGAGTGCAGAGGAGAGTGAGTAGGGTGGATTGGGGCGGGAATGAGCGGGGATGAGTCGGAGGAGTGAGCTGAGTGAGGAGGAATGTAGAGGAATTCGAGGATGCGAGAAGTGAAGAGGAGTGGACTGAAATGGGAAGGAGCTGGGAAAAGTGCACAAGAACCTGACAAGTGAGACATGGGGAGTTTCGGGAACTCTTCGGCCACGAGGAGGGAGGGTGAGCAGACTGGGGAGGATGGGGAACGAGCGGGTGGACTGAAGCGAAGTGGGAAGGAGTGCGGAAAAACGCGGAGATGTGCGAAGAAGTGGCGGGCAGTTGGGAGGTCCGGGGAGGAGGTGGGAGGGAATCGATCATGATGGAGTGGGGGGGGACGGCTCTTGTTCGGACCTTGCCCAAGAGGGCCTCCAAAGCGGCCTCTAGAACATCCACGAGGGGCCCAAGACGGGCCCAATAATGGCTTCCAGAGGACTGAACGCCCCCTGGTCCCTGCAGTTCTTGCCGCCGGAGTGCCATTGGACGGCTTGGAGAACAAGTAATTTTCATCTTCGCATCTTGCTTAGATGCTCCCAGACACCTGGCGCTAGCTTCCAGGCGACCCCATGCAGCCCCACAATTCTTTGTGTTTCGCACAGTGAAGCTACAGTGATCCTACACTGAGCCATCAGTGAACCAACAGCTAACCATCGTAGAATTCGTAGTGTGCCTCGAATCGAGGCTCACTACGTTTTTTCCTAACCATCCTGTGGTGTCGGGTCCTCGTTCTGAAGAGACAGCGCCCCGGGTCTCTCCTCCTTCCTTCCTTCCTCCTTCCATCCTTCCTCCTCCTCCTCCTCCATAGGGAGTTCCACCGAAGGCCCTAGTGGGGGTGTTCGCATGCGTTTCCCCCACCCAGGAGAGCGTTTCGTTGCCCCATAGGGAGCTCCACCGAAAGCCCCAGTGGGGGTGTTCGCATGCGTCTCCCCCACCCAGGACAGCGTTTCGTGGCCCCATCGGGAGCTCCCTAGTGGGGGTGTTCGCATGCGCCCCCCCCCGCCCAGGACAGCGCTTCGTGGCCCCATAGGGAGCTCCACCGAAAGCCCCAGTGGGGGTGTTCGCATGCGTCTCCCCCGCCCAGGACAGCGCTTCGTGGCCCCGTAAGGAGCTCCACCGAAGGCCCCAGTGGGGGTGTTCGCATGCTCCCCCACCCAGGACACCCATAGGGAGCTCCCCCAGTGGGGGTGTTCGCATGCGTCTCCCCCACCCAGGACAGCGCTTCGTGGCCCCATAGGGAGCTCCACCGAAGGCCCCAGGGGTGTTCGCATGCGTCTCCCCCACCCAGGAGAGCACTTCGTGGCCCCATCGGGAGCTCCCTAGTGGGGGTGTCGCATGCGTCCTCCCCGCCCAGGACAGCGCTTCGTGGCCCCATAGGGAGCTCCACCGAAAGCCCAGTTGGGGTGTTCGCATGCGTCTCCCCCCCAGGACAGCGCTTCGTGGCCCCATAGGAGCTCCACCGAAGGCCCCAGTGGGGTGTTCGCATGCGTCTCCCCCACCAGGACAGCACTTCGTGGCCCCATAGGGAGCTCCCTAGTGGGGGTGTTCGCATGCGTCCTCCCCGCCCAGGGCGCTTCGTGGCCCCATAGGGAGCTCCACCGAAAGCCCCACTGGGGTGTTCGCATGCGTCTCCCCCACCAAGGAGAGCGCTTCGTGGCCCCATGGGGAGCTCCACCGAACGCCCCAGTGGGGGTGTTCGCATGCGTCTCCCCCACCCAGGACAGCGTTTCGTGGCCCCATAGGGAGCTCCGCCGAAAGCCCCAGTTGGGGTGTTCGCATGCGTCTCCCCCACCCAGGACAACGTTTCGTGGCCCCATAGGGAGCTCCTCCGAAAGCCACAGTGGGGGTGTTCGCATGCGTCTCCTCCACCCAGGAGAGCGCTTCGTGGCCCCATAGGGAGCTCCACCGAAGGCCCCGGTGTGGGTGTTCGCATGCGTCTCCCCCGCCCAGGACAGCGTTTCGTGGCCCCATAGGGGGTTCCACCGAAGGCCCCAGTTGGGGTGTTCGCATGCGCCTCCCCCGCCCAGGAGAGCGCTTCGTGGCCCCACAGGGGGCTCCACCGAAGGCCCCAGTAGGGGTGTTCGCATGCGTCCCCCCCGCCCAGAACAGCGTTTCTTGACCCTACGGGAGCTCCACCGAAGGCCCCAGTGTGGGTGTTCGCATGCGTCTCCCACGCCCAGGACAGCGTGTCGTGGCTCCATAAGGGGGCTCCGCCAAATGCCCCAGTTGGGGTGTTCGCATGCGTCTCCCCCACCCAGGACAGCGCTTCGTGGCCCCATAGGAACTCCACCGAACGCCCCCGTGGGGGTGTTCGCATGTGTTCCCCACCACCCAGGACATCGTTTCGTGGCCCCATAGGGAGCTCCACCGAAGGCCCCAGTGGCTGCATTCGCATGCGTCTCCCCGCCCAGGACAGCGTTTCGTGGCCCCATAGGGAGCCCCACCGAATGCGTTGCTCACAAAGACGGTACTCACAACTGCATATGGCTGGGTCCTTCGCCAGGCTAATTGCAATTGGTCACTGTTGGTTCGCTGATGTCTTATTGTAGGCTCACTATGTCTTTTGCGACATTGCAGTGGGATGTGCCAAGTGTGCCAGGCGAACTAGGTGCGCCAGCCTCAGCAGGTGCGCAGTGCGCGACAGGTGGCTACGTGTGCCAGGTGAATGATACGCGCCACGAGCGACAGGTGCGCCACGCGCGTCAGGCGCATCAGGGTCTCGTTGACATGACCGCAATCATAAGGGCGACATCGGCGACGACGGTGGCGATGATAGACTGGGAGATGATTTTTGCGAATGTCCGTGGGTTGCGGCCGCAGTCGTTGTTGTCCCCCGCATGTTTCGTGGGGTTATGGTTTGTTTCCTTGCCGCGTCGCACCCGCGTCTCCTCACACACGCACGCACACGCACGCACCTCCCCTCCTCC